AGTGTGTAGCTGCTGCCATGTTGAGGCAGAGGGTGCTGTCTGTAGCTCTGGTTGAGGGTGAGAGGCTGTCAGCAGATAAACAGAGATCTGTGTGGGTACATGAGACCCTAAAAAAGAGGCTGGATCATGGGGAGTACCACCAGTTGGTCCAGGAGCTTCTCCTCCATCATGGACGTTTACAGTACTGCACTTATCTGCTGTTTTCTATTCAGATGGTGCTAACTGTGCTTTGTAAAGTCGTATAGCTCTGGGTATCCAGCAACCACTACCACCAGTTTCTCCTCCATTGGTTACCAACTGTAAACTGGTTGTCGTGACCACCACAGAAGCCCCGCCTCTCACATCATACCAGTGGACTATAGGAAAAAAGCAGAGATGACGTGGGGCGCTTTTCTGCTCTGAGCTGAAGTTTTTTCAACTCGAGGAGTTCAGAGCGCTCCAGGACAAACACCAGGCGCCTAGAGCGCAGAAACATGAGGTGCACAGCAACACAACAACAGCGAGCATGAGGACGAAAAAGAACCTGAAGAACCTCCTGACCGACCTCCATTAACAGAATCCATCTTGCAGAGACTTGTTGCATCAGTGTCTCGTGATGATGCTGGAAAAATTTTAAAAACTCTGTGTCAGTCTGTTCGTCCGTCTGCGTGGGAGCGTCTTTAGATGTAAACACGATATAAACAGTGATGAGTTCACTGATGTCTGTGTTGAATGTAGATCAGTGACTCTCTCAGAGAGCTACTGCAGCTGGAGAGTCCAGAGCATCATCACCATCATCATCATCATCATCATCATCATCATCATCATCATCATCATCATTTCAGTAGGTTCTTCTGTACTTTGACAACAGGTTCATGTCTCTCAGTGGCAGAGAGGAAACGTCTGTGATCAGTGATGTGAACTCAGTCACAGATTTGTTCTGTACCTGCAGATTTGCTCTTCGCGTGGTGTCGGTGGCTTGGTGGTAGAGCAGGCGTTCCATGTACAAGGCTGTTGCCACAGTGGCCCAGGTTCGAGTCCAGCCTGTGTCCCTTTGCTGCATGTCATCCCCTCTCTCTCTCCCCCTCTCACACTTAACTGTCCTGTCCATTAAAGGCAAAAAATGCCCAAAAAACATCTAAAAAAAAAAAAAAAAAAGGATTTGTTCTTCGCAGCATCAGCTTCACCAGTTTGTCTCAAACAGTCAAAGCTCCACGACAAATTCATGCGCTCATAACATCTGTAAAATCTTTTCTTAGCTCAAACTTAGATCACCTTGGCCGTGTATCGTGTCTGTAGACGTGTTCTCTGTGTGACTTTAAAGACAGCCTGACCTCAGCTGATGTCTCATCCTCAGAGAGATGACCTCATCCCACCAGGAGTCCGACTTTTATGTGTTACTTGTTTCTCCAACTGTTTGACCTCAGACGGTCGGCCCACATGTCGTCTCTGTGGTCGGGCAGGGCTGAATATTTTCCGTCTATCTTCATTATGCTGATGACGCCCACGTGTATCTGAGAGTGAAGCCACACACAGAGCTGAAGCTGATTGTATCGGCTCCAGTTTACAGCTAGAACTGGTCCCAGTTTGATCCAGTAAAATGTCCATGTGTCCTGTCACATCCAGAATCTGGATATCAAAAACTCCCAAATATCTTGTGTTCACATGATTTTATCTATTTGTGTTTGACATATTTTGATGTTAACTTTATCTCGTCTTCACATTTCACTAACGCAGTGTAACACAGAAACATACAATAAAAACATTTTCTTCTGGTGACTGAGCAGAAGTTTGTGTCCACACTGTCCATCAGGTGTGTTAAAGACATTTAGATCCTCAGACGTGTTTGGACATTGTTGATGGATGGATCCAGGACAGAAACACGTCCACTGTCTCCATCATGTCTCACAGGTTTCAGAGAGCAGCAGCAGATGTCCTGTCCTGTGTGTCCGTCTCTCAGAGGTTGTAAAAGTCTCGTCCCCCTCAGTCCTGTGAACTGAGCTATCGGTGCTGAGCTGATTAAAGCCGACGGCTCAGATTCAAACCGCAAGTTTACATGAAGTGAAGCCTCCTGCAGCTGCAGACGATCAGGACGTTTCCGTGTTTGTGTTTGTTTATCGTTTCACCTCCAGATCTGAATCACAGCTGGCTCTCATCACCGCAGGAGGAAGTGCTCAGACCTCAAGTAAGAGTACAAATACTGCAGCGGAGATGTACTGAGGTAAAGTCCTGCGTCCAGAACTTAACAGTAAAAACAAAACCACTTGTAATATCACATTTCTCACTATGACATGTGACCTTTATCAACTGTGAAACAACATGTCAAACACATGCACTCAGGCAGGTAGCAGTGACATCTCGATGACTGCGGCCGAGCACAATGACCCCCTCCTCCCTTTCAAACAAGCAGAATGTGTTGAGACTCACCTCTGTCTGCAGCAGACCAGAGAGACAGGTGTCTTTAAAAGTCTCTGTGTGCTCAGCTCTCAGTACGTCTGTAGCTTCTCACTGAATCGCTGTGGTTTGGAGTTCTTTCTTTTCTAACCTTAACCACAGCAACTTTACGTTAATTATGCAGCTGTACGTTAAGGAGTTAATGTCATTTGTGTGGCGCTAATTAGTAAAATATCATACGAAGCATTCTCTAAGAACACATTGAAAGAAACATGGTGAGGACGTACTTGAAAAAGACTCAAAGCTCACACAGATCTGAACACGTGACTCCAGGAGAAAGTCTGGAGTCCCAAGCTGCCTCCTGACAGGCGCTCAGGACTGCTTCCTAGTTTACTGCTGTCAGCACATTGGTCACATGATATGTGGATATGTACGACTTTGGGTGCATTACTTTTTGTTGGAAAACATTCGAGCCTGATCCTGGTGCAGGGTGGACTAAATCATTTTCGCCTTTATGGGTGAGAAGGGCCTCTGAGAGCCGTCTCTATTTTTATACAAAGTCCAGTCTTTAAAACAATGTATTCGGCCAAGTTTAATTTATTCATGACACTATTCATTTCGAAAAAAAAATCAAAGAAAACCAAATGTTTTACTCTCGGCTTTTTGAGGGCCCCTGGATAATCAGTCCCCCTTGCCCCCCCTCTACAACACCCCTGTCAGTATCGTCATATCTGATCCACCTAAATGAAATATGTTAAAGCTGTTCATCTTTTATCCTTCACCAACTGGAACCTAAACAGTCTGATCAGATGACTGTATTATCATCAGGTGTCGATGTCGCCCTCCTGTCCTCAAAACACCTGAAGAACAAAAAGTATGTCGTCCATGTTGTTTCTGTCCTCAGTGAGCGCAGTGATATTTCAGTCATCTGTAACTGAGACGTATAAAAACATGTCTTTCAACCAGCCTTACCTCAGTCTGATCCTTCAGATGTTTTAGTGGTTTAGATCTGCAGCTCACTTTCTGTGATGTTGGAGGTCAGAACCAGAGCCAGAGAGCAGGAGACTCGTCCCACAGGAAGTCTGTTGAAACCATCAGATCTCAGCTGGAGTCTGTTTCTGACTGAATGAGACTCTGTCTGATTCTGCTGGACGGCAGCTGATCAGTGGGATGCTCACCTGGACAGGTACGTCTCAGTTTGTGCCACGAGTGATTAAAATGGACAAACATTAATTTGCTTTGACCATCAGAGGTGAAAGCTGCAGTGTGTGATGTGACCAGTAGGGGCGCTGTAGAGAGACAAACATGAACTGGCTCAGTGTTCAGACAGAAGGAGAATTAGAAGGGTGGCGGTCAGAAACTATTTATTAGACGATGTTATTTTACAGAACATATAAAAGAGATGTGCACAGTCAGTAGCATCAGTGGTGTGTGTGTGTGTGTGTGTGTGTGTGTGTCAGGGTGTCAGGGTGAGTGGAGGATGGTGGAGATGTTGCACACTGAAAGAAAAGACAAAACAAACCAGTCAAACCAAAGGAACATGTGGGAGCTGCAGGAGAGGGAGGCGGACTGAACAACTCAGCTGTGTAGGGTCATCAGCTCAGGTGAGTCCAGGTGAACCTGCTAACGATGTGCACATCTGCAAGAGGTGGAGGAGCAGAGACACAGGAGGAGCAGAGACAGTGGAGGAGCAGAGCAGAGACAGTGGAGGAGCAGAGCAGAGACACACGAAGAACAGAGCAGAGACAGTGGAGGAGCAGAGACACAGGTGGAGCAGAGACACAGGTGGAGCAGAGACACAAGTGGAGCAGAGACACAGGACGAGCAGAGCACAGACAGTGGAGGAGCAGAGACAGTGGAGGAGCAGAGCAGAGACAGTGGAGGAGCAGAGCAGAGACACAGGAGGAGCAGAGCAGAGACAGTGGAGGAGCAGAGACACAGGAGGAGCAGAGACAGTGGAGGAGCAGAGCAGAGACACAGGAGGAGCAGAGCAGAGACACAGGAGGAGCAGAGCAGAGACAGTGGAGGAGCAGAGACAGTGGAATAAAACATTCAACATGTCTGACTTAATGAACTCCACTTGGAGCTTTAAATCAAAATGTTTAATGTACGGTGGCTCTGTGAGGACAATCCACAGCATCAGACTGGATCAGAGTCTTTCTCTGTCTGTTGTTTGTTGGGTGGAGTTTATTTATGTCTCTGACATATGATACTGATGCATTTATGAACATCTGGGGAATTTAATCTGTACTGACCTGCTGAGTTTGTTTTAATAAAGAATGTCAAAAGTCTTTTTTCTCATTTCTTTTTCTTTTTTCTTTTTTGTTAATTTCTGTCTTTTTGCATTTTTCTTTTTCTTTCATTTTCTTTCCTTCCTCCTTCCTGTCTTTGTTCCTTCATTCTCCGTCTCATTTCTTTCTCTTCTTCTGTTTTTAACTTTTTTCTTCTTTCTTTCTCTTAGCTGACAGTTATGATCTTTCAGTATTTTAACTTGTTGAACTAAACTTCAATCAGACGTTATTATTATATAATGAAGGTGATCGGTTTTTCTTGGTGTCTGATATCTCGCCCCTCCTCCTCTTCCTCCTCCTCCTCCTCCTCCTCTGCTTTATAAGTCCCCTCCTGGAGTCTGGAGGGACTGGGGGCTGCGGAGAAGGAGGAAGAAGCAGAAGAAGAAGAAAAGAACAGAGAGAAATCAGAGTAAAACAAGAGAAGAAGAAGAAGAGTGAGGCTCTGTAGTCCGGTTGAAGATGAAGGTGTGTGTCCTGGTCCTGGGTCTGTCCCTGCTCCTCACCGTCTGTGTGGCCCGGTCTCCGTTCCAGGCGGTCCTGCAGCACAGCCGGATCAGAGGCCGGCAGCAGGGGTGAGTCGATCCGATCCGAACCGAGCCGAACCCACACAGAGAGTTTGCACATAGACAGAGAGACTCTGCACACACAGAGCGTCTGAACAGAGTTTGTGCACGGAGACACGCTGCTGTAGCTTCACTGTAACATGCTGTAATGATCATATCATGATCAGCTGTGACTTTATTTATCAGAAATATTTTATTATCTGTTTCAGTCGATCTGATGTGAAGAACAGAGACTTATAAGAAGTAAGAATAAGAGTGTAAAATAGAAGTATGTAAATATAAAGTATTGAAATACAACAGAAATATAACTGTGCATTATGCAACAGTGTTTAACATTTACATTTACAAACATTCACTAATATGTGCGACATTAATCTGTATAAACTAGTGTTTCATTCAGAAACATAAAATATGTGTTATGCTATAATGTTCACTACAATATGTACATCTATGGAATAAAAACAACAGTAAGAATAAACATAAGAAATATGTAGTTATTTGCATTATATGTTGAATAAATATTGACATTCAACAGGTGCTGGTGAGAATAGATTAGTGTAGGCTACTGTAGAGTACTGCACAGCTGAATTATTGCAGTCACATTCATTTCCTTCAGTGTCTCCATACAGTATTATAATGATATAATTAATAATGATATTACCTCTGTAGTGTCTGTGGTTCTGCTCGCCGTCTGTAGAGTGACTTCATGCTCATTGATCATAATTTATAATCATAATTATCTGTTAAATGTCATCATGTGATAAAATGATAATGAGCTTATGTTAGATTTTTATTCTGCTGAACGTTTTCAAACTGTTCAGATTAAAGTTCTGTAAACATGAAAAGCTGTGATGAAACTTTGAATCTGATCATTTCCAGAGAGATGAGGTCGACACACCAGACTGAGGTGCTTCTGAATGAATCAGCTGTTTCGGTGGCTTTGATGTTATAAAGTTATAATAATAATAATAATGTGTTGTGTGTATGAAGTGCGAGTGTTTGTTGTGTCCTGCAGGATGTTGTAAAGTTTATCTGTCCACCTTAAAACTGAGGTTAAGCTCAGATTAAGGTGGAATGAGTCGATTCAGTGGTTAATAAGCAACATTAAAACATTTTGTTCTCTTTAATGCAGATCTAGAAGTTTGGAGGTGAAAACAAACGAAGGTGTGATGTTGTAATTATGATATGAACTTTGAACCTGGAACATAATCTGGTCGTGTGTTCACTGTCAACTTGTTAAATGTAAATGTATGTGTTGCTTATAGTAAATTTCAGCTGTGTCTCAGTGTTCTTAAAGGAACTGGGGCTGGTTGCACAAAACTCCTTAAGTGTGACACTTAGAGAGACACAGAGACACTTGGAGAGTTGAGTGATCTGACTCCAGATAAAGCAAATCATTAGTTGACTTCTAAACAATTTATGATGCAAAATCAAAGTGCTCATCTTTAAGGTTGTTCGATGGTTCTCACCATCGCAGAACGTCTCAGGACGCCGTCATTTTTCTCATTTATCACCATAATCTCAGCCTGGCTGTGGTTCGGATGGAGTCAGAGGTACTTTATGTTTTTGTCCTCAGTTTAACCAACTTTAAGCCATTCCTTAAGTATAAGACCAAGATAAGGAGAAAACCTTAAATCCTTAACTTACAGGAAACCTTAAGGAGAAGACTTAAGAATGTTTTAGGCAACCAATTTTATTTCAAGGAAACCTTAACTCAGAATTTAAGGAAAATCTTAACCTAAGGTACTTTGAGCAACTGGCCCCAGAATCCCTTATCAGTCCACCTTGAAACCCCTTAAATCTTTGGTTAGGTTAAGGTGGAATCATTCATTGAAACCTTTATTTAAGACTCTGGAAATCAGCTGAATCAGCTGAGGGAGATGAGCATGAACAAAGACATAAAACCAACCAATGAGCAAACACAAAATCAGTTAAACAGTTCACCAACATGAAAACAGTTAAAATAGAAATAAAATCACATAAAACAACAAAAGTGTCAGAGCTCAAAGTTGAACACAAGATAATAAACACGCTGTGGAGCACACAGAGTTAGAAACATTTAAAACGAGATCTGAAATCAGGCGTTTAAACATTCGTAGCGGCGTCAGTGAGTTTAAGGTCTCTGCAGATTATTTCATGTTTCAGGTTCAGTAAAGATGATGTGAGTTAAACTAGTCATCTTCAGATTTAAACTCACTCACATGAAAGAGTTAACAGGAAGTTTAACTCAGCTGAATGTGAAGCTGTTCCATTAACGACTCACCTGTGTTATAAAATCAGAAACTCGGTTTGTTTCTGATCCTGTGAGTCGACCGTGTGTTGAAACGTCTGATCTGTGTCGCTGTAAAATCACTCGATAGTCTCGTGACGTCACATTTGTCACTGCATGAAATCTAAGTTTGATTTCACAACATTATTCTCTGATTCTGAAGCAGCTGCAGGTCGACAGAAACTGAAACTGACTGTCGGAGCTGAATCGTTTGTCTCTCCGTCCTCCTGAAGACTCTTTAAAGTCTCCACATTCAGAGAGTTTCAGAGGTAATATGAGATGTATGTTGGTCCTGCAGCAGCTGCAGACTTGGTCATGGAAAACCTGAAAAAGTCCTGGAATTTTGTTGTGTGTAATGAAACTGTGACAGTAATCTTGCAGGAACAAACTTCAACGTAACGACAGAAACATTAATATGAAGCTGTCGACGTAACGTAACTCTGATATGATGTGACGTTTGCTAGTGTCTTCATTTCCTCTGTGTGTGCCAGCTAGCTGAAAATACAAAGACAGGCAAGTAGGGCAAGAATAGAAATACAGTGGGTCCTGTAAAAGTCATGGAAAATGTCATCTATGACTGTGTGTGGGAACCCTGGACTTGACTCTGTCATCAGTTTGATTCTCTGAGCCCTCGAACCTGTCACATTGAGTTTAAGGAGGAATCTAAAGTCTGAATCCTTTAACAGAAGCTTTCCATGACTTGATTCCAGGCTGATATTCCAGGCTGCTGTGTGTTTAGATTATTAATAAAGACATGACGTCTGTGTCTTCCTGTCTCTGATCCTGTGTCTGCGTCTCTTTTCTCTTTCAGACCGAATGTTTGTGCCATGCAGCAGCAGAAAGGCACCGACAAGAAATACTTCACCAACTGCAAACAGTGGTACCATCGCAAGATCTGCGGGAAGCCCACGTGAGTCTGAGCCGAGCGTCCGTCACAGCAGAACAACAACACGTGTCATGACGCCTCAGTTTGAATCCATTTTAGGGAGTAAAGTGTCTCAAAGTGTTTTTGCTCTTCCTGTGACTGGTGTTGTGCCGACCGTTTGTTCTCAGTGAGTCTGAAAGTGTTTCTCGTGACTTGACTTTGGTCCTGCTGGACGGACTGAGTTTGTGTTTAGTGGACGGAGGAATGTCCCTCTCCGGAGGTGTCCTCACCTCTTATATAACCTCTGAAGAAGAAATGAACCATCAGTGTCAGTTTACCTCCCAGTCCCAAGATCTGCTGCAGGGTTCATTTAAAGGACACGTCCAACAGTTTGACTTTTTGTCCATGTCTCTGTTGTCCATAACCTGAAGCAGAACGTCCTGTCTCAGTGTGCAGAGACGTAGCTCAGAGCGAACACAGAGCCTCATCTTACAGAGCAGCACAGCACAACTGTCATCCCTAGTTTTAGACTGTCGCAGTGGTTGTTTTCATGTTGCAGAGGTAAATGTACGTACGCCCATCTGTGCGTCCATGTGAGGTGTGCCCAGGTACGTTGTTGGTGGACTGATATTTTGAGGCAGCAGAAAAAGACTGATTCACTGACCTACAAAAAACTGGTCCAAAGTCAGAATGGTTTTATTTTCACTGGTATTTAAAGAGCACATGATTCAGATAGTGAGATGCTCCAACATCAGCACTGATGTTCTGTAAAATGTGAACGTAGCAGAGAGCTGAGCAGAGCTGCATGGAGACGCTGTGCACATGTAAACACGAGGAGCAGCCTGACACTGTGTCCTAACTGGATGCAACATGAGTCCATCCATCAGATGATGTAGCTGGGTTGTGAGCTGAGCTTGACATCGTCAATGTGACATGAGATGATCCCTGATGTGATACAGAGGAGGGACCGTGTACTGCTTACAGCTTGTGAGTCCTGTGGTGTTCATTGTGTTCACACCAAATGTGATGCAAATGTCCGTGTCACGTTACTCACTTGAGTTTGAACGCTGGAATATTTTGTGTTGACTCGCTTCATACGTGTGAATGATACGCACGTGAAACAGCTGAATCAATGAATGAACTTCCACCAGTACGTCCTCGGCATCATATATATAGTACCAGAGGAGCTCAAAGCTCATCGACTGTCGCCGTGCTGACTGGTCGCTGAAGTTCAGATTTTTCAGCATCAGCACTACTCACTTCATTCGCGTATTTCGCGTCCTTCGTGTTGCCCAGCAGGAATTCACGTCTAATCGTGTCTTTACATTAACTTAACTTACAGTTCATGCAAACTGTTTTATGCGCTACCGGTGTGAACTCACCATAAGACTGCTCTGCTGATACTTAAACCACTGATACTTGTAGTGCAGATACTCATACTTCAATATAATCTTGAGTGCAGCACTGACTGAAGTGGACTCTGATGCTTCAGACTGCAGAAACAAAGAGACTCAGTCAGACTGAAGGAAACACACACACACACACACACACACACACACACACACACACACATTATTAATGAGGCTCTGGCAGCAGTGGACCAGCTGTGTCACAGATTTCACTCTGCAGGAGCGGAGCAGGATTACTGTGAGTCTGTGCTGCAGTAAAATGTTCCTCTTGTAAATGTGATAATCACCTGAACTCTTCAGTCGGCTCTCACAGTCTCGTTCCTCACAGACGCTCCTGTCGTCGAGCGTGAACGAGCTGTTGAGTAAATCGTCTCCCTGCAGAGCTGACACAGGGGGACACACTAAAATACGGGGGACATTTTTAGTCCAGAGGACAGAAACAGACTGGAAACAAAGTGAACCAATAGCTTATCTTAGCATAAACACTGATAACAGGAAAAACAGTTAGCTTATCTTAACATAAACACTTAAAATGGGGATTGACAACAGTGGGAACAGCTACCTTAACTTAGCATAAGGTCTAGAAATAGGGGGATAGCAGTTATCTTATTTTAGCATAAACACTGGAAACAGAAGAAAAAAAGGAAAATGGGAGAAGTTAGCTTATATTAGCATAAACACTTGAACAAGGTAGAACAGTTTGCTTAGCATAAGAACTGTAAACAGAGGGAACAGCTAGCTTAGCTTAGCATAAGGACTGTAAACAGAGGGAACAGCTAGCTTAGCTTAGCATAAGGACTGTAAACAGGGGGAACAGTTAGCCGGTCTCTATCCACTCATAAAGCTCCTCTCCAGCTGATCAACATGTTTTTTGGGTCCATGTCATTGGTTCGACAGCCCATTAGTCCGACTGTCCGCGGTGCTGAACGGCTCGCGGCGGGCGTATGGACTTCGGAACAATGAGTTTAATATGGTCGGAACAATGGGATGTCGAACCAATGGGCAGTTCCCGTTTTTTGTGGTTTGTTTCCAAAGAAAATCTGAAGTGGAAAAAATGTCATTTTCAGTCAGAGTAAATAGTGTTTCCAAATAGTGTGACACAAAGGATATGTGTCATTTGGAAAGTGACAGAGACATTTCCCCAGTAAAGTAATCATATAGACATGAGAGTGAAATCCATCTGATCATGTGACTGACAGAGAGGAGGAGGAGGAAGAGGAGGAGGAGGAGGAGCATTTACCTGAGTGTTGAACTCTTCCCTTAAAACATCCAGATGTTGATCTCCATGACATCAGTTACTCACCCTGTTACGATGAATTCATGAGAAAAACTGTTCACACAACTCCTGCAGAAGAGTCCAAGTCTCATTCATCCAGTCACATGCTTAGTGCTTTACAAACACATGACCTTTACACTGAAACCTTTTGTTTTACAACTGAACAGAAAGTAAAACTGATCTCTGCTCTCTTCACAGCCAGACTCCAGTGATAAAACCAGTGATTTAACACCAGTGAACTCAGGAGCTGCTGGTCTGCTGCTGCCTCCATCAGTCAGTGTGTTTGTGTCACTGTGTGACTTTGGTGTTTAAAGGGTTAATTCAGATTCACCAAAGTCACACAGTGACACAAACACACTAACTGATGGAGGCAGCAGCAGACCAGCAGCTCCTGTGTTCACTGGTGTTAAATCACTGGTTTCATCACTGGAGTCTGGCTGTGAAGAGATTATAGACAAGTTTTACTTCCTGTTCAGTTCCCCATCAGAGAGGCCTGTCTGTTTAGGAGGTACTGAACATACAACTGGATGAATGAGACTGGGATTAAACTGCACGAGTTGTGTGAGTACAGAAACCTGGATAGACGTCAGTTTTGAAACTTGAACACATGGGTTTGATTTCCTTGAAAAATGTGCAAAAAAATTCAACGAGCGACTTGGTAAGAACTGTCCTGCAAGTGCAAGAAAATTAAAAAACATGACAAGAAAAATAAAATAAATAAATAAATAAATATTTTGGAATTACCAAAAAAACTAGAAAGAAAATGTCCGGATGTGTTTTTAGGTGCATTAACTGAAAACTGATGTTTTAAAAGTTTCCAACTTCTGTCCTCACTTGTCGTTAACACCCGCCCTTGTATGAAATGATTTCGGTCAGAGCTGACCTCTGTTTTTTGGTTTCCGTGGAAACAGCTGTCTCAGCATTTTAACTGACAGTAACAGTTGAAGTGATTCATCCGTCGTTATGTTCCGACTAAGTGACAGATTTATGAAGCTGGTCCTGGGTCAGTTCAGTTCAGGTGCTGCAGGGTCTGATAGCCGCTCCGCTCTGTGTGTGTGATCAATATATTGATCTGTAAATGAGCTCACAGTGCGTCTCTGATCAGTAACAGATGAAAACTGTTTCAGTGAATGAACAGATGTCTGAGGCACCTTCTCTTCTTCTTCTCTTCATGCTCCAGTCAGACTGTAAATGTGCATCAGTCTGTATATTTGTTCACATATTTCTGTGTGTGTGTGTTTTTGTGAAAGTGTGTCTGAGGCTGTGAAGGACTCTCAGTCCGTCGGCAGGATGTTGAACGCAGCTTTTAAACTTTTCCCACAAACAGATTCTTTCAGCTCGGATCAGGAAATGGAGGGAAAAGAGGAAGTGAGAGTTTCTGTTTGTAGGAAGTGAAGCTTCACACACACACACACACACAAACACACACACAAACAGCGTCAGTGTGTGGAAACACTCGGCTCTTATCTGTGACGGGGTAATTACATTTACACTTGTGTCTTTGTGTTTCTGTGGAGGAGGATCAGCAGGTCAGAGGTCAGCAGAAGGAGGACTCATAACTCACTGACCCCCCCCAGACCCCGACTCCCCCTGTCTCCCCCCCGAGACCTCCCCCCTCCTCCCTCTGTCTGCAGAGGTCTTCAACAACACACCACACTGTGTCTCCGACTCTGACCAACAATCTGTTCATTCACTACCTGGCAGACGTACATTTACTCACATACAGTACTTCAGTGCAGATCTGAGGTATTTGTGCTTCAGTGTTTCCTTTAACGCTACCTCCTCCTCCTCCTCCTGTATAGAATATAATCAATAAATAAATGATGATGTGTTATTACAATATAAAGTCATTAAAATGAGCTCCACCTTCAGCAGTGATTTGGCGCCTCCTACAGTTGCACAGTGGTACCACCGTTGTTAATACAGGCCCTCAGTTAGTCGCTGCAGCAGCTCGTACTCAGCCGTCGCAGACTGCAGCACCAGGGTCTGATCTATGGATGGAGAGAACGTTTCCTCATACAACACTTGGTATGATATCCTGCGAATGACGATATGTACTTTACGTAAAGGCATGTACTTAGTGTAAAGTTACTGACGTTAGGTTTAGGAAAAGAAACGTGGTGAGTTCTCTCGGTTCTGAACACTGGTCTCCTGGAGGAAAGTCCTGTGTTATGTGACCCGTCCACCATCCCAACCTGCCTCCTTACAGACCGCTCGGACTGCTTCTGTCTTTACTCCCATCAGTGCTGTAGTCATGTGATCACAGCCTTCCGAAATATGTGGCTTATACACAAACTATTGGCTCATGATTTTGTGGAATGTGTACAAATTTAGGTTACTGTTCGTAGGAAAACGTACGA